CCTATAGAAAGTAGGTTAAAGAATTGCTAAAGAGATATGAAAGCCTCGGGGGATACTATTGTATTGTGCGCTATTAGGAATATTTCTTTTCTTTGACGAAATATTGGGTTTCAGTCAATAGCCGAATATATGCCTTTGGTCGTAATGTATGTGTTTTCCTTTATTTTTTTTTCTTACTATTATCGGTAATGTTGTGATGGATAATAATTTTCGTTTGTTACAGAAACCTTTTTTTAGAATATGATTGCCGATATATGTATTACCATTTGCTATTTTCCATTTATTGCGAATATTCTTTCCTAAGTCTGTTACCATATGCTTCCATTTATTGCGAATATTCTTCCTTAAGTCTGTTACCATATGCTTCCATTTATTGCGAATATTCTTCCTTAAGTCTGTTACCATATGCTTCCATTTATTGCGAATATCTTCCTTAAGTCTGTTACCATATGCTTCATTTATTGCGAATATTCTTCCTTAAGTCTGTTTCATATGCTTCCATTTATTGCGAATATTCTTCCTTAAGTCTGTTTCCATATGCTTCCATTTATTGCGAATATTCTTCCTTAAGTCTGTTACCATATGCTTCCATTTATTGCGAATATTCTTCCTTAAGTCTGTTTCCATATGCTTCCATATTGCGAATGTATTGGAGTGCTTCCATTTATTTCGTAAGTCTGTGGCTATGATGCTTATCCAATAAGTATGATCTCAACATTTTCTTTATACATTTTCTTATTCGGTGCGATACGTAATTCCCACAAGACCAGGTTTCCCTCGAACCCTCAAAGAATTCTCCGCAGAAAATGTGGCACTGAAAACCTGCTCTCTTGGGCGTTGGATTGTTTTGGTTTTGTGGCGGGAGGCTTTGTCTCTCTCTCTCTCTCTCTTTCTCTTTCTCTTTCTTCTCTTTTCTCTCTCTCTTTCTCTCTCTCTCTCTCTCTCTCTCTCTCTCTCTCTCTCTCTCTCTCTCTCTCTCTCTCTCTCTCTCTCTCTCATCTCTCTTCTCTCTCTCTCTCTCTCTCTCTCTCTCTCTCTCTCTCTCTCTCTCTCTCTCTCTCTCTTTCTCTCTCTTCTCTCTCTCTCTCTCTCTCTCTCTCTCTCTCTCTCTCTCTCCTCTCTCTCTCTCTCTCTCTCTCTCTCTCTTTCTCTCTCTCTTCTCTCTCTTCCCTCTCTCTTTCTCTCTCTCTCTCTCTCTCTCTCGTCTCTCTTCTCTCTCTCTCTCTCTCTCTCTCTCTCTCTCTCTCTCTCTCTCTCTCTCTCTCTCTCTCCTCTCTCTCTCTCTCTCTCTCTCTCTCTCTCTCTCTCCTCTCTCTCTCTCTCTCTCTCTCTCTCTCTTCTCTTTCTCTCTCTCTCTCTCTCTCTCTCTCTGTCTCTCTCTCTCTTTCTCTCTCTCTCTCTCTCTCTCTCTCTCTCTCTCTCTCTCTCTCTCTCTCTCTCTCTCTCTCTCTCTCTCTCTCTCTCTCTCCTCTCTCTCTCTCCTCTCCTCTCTCCTCTCTCTCTCTCTCTTCTCTCTCTCTCTCTCTCTCTCTCTCTCTCTCTCTCCTCACCTCTCTCTCTCTCTCTACTTACCTACCTACCTACCTGTCTGCATATAAGAGTATAAATGCATGTATACATATGCAGATAAATACAAGAATAAATAAATAAATGAATTATGTAATTGGTTCATATACATATGTACTTACAGACATATATTTTCTGTGTGTGTGTGTCCGTCTGTTGGTCTGTCTGTTTCAATACGAGTAAATGCATCATCTTCCTCTTTCCAACCTTTTTGCCTATCCCTCTCCGTCCTTCATCCCTCCCTGTCCCCCTCTCTCCATTCCTCTTCTCCCTTCCATCCCTCTCTTCATTCCACCGCCCCCCCCCCATTTAATCCCTCACTACTCTCTCTCCTTCCACCCCCTCTCCTACTCCATTCATCCCTCCTAAATCCTTCCGTCTCACCCCTCTCCCTCTCCCACCCCAACCATTCAACCTTCACCCCTTTCACCTCCTCCCTCCCTCCTTCCCACCCCTCCCTTTCTTCCCTCTCACATCTTTCCCTTCCCCCCCATCCCCAACATTCACCCGTCAATTCCTCCCCCACCCCTCTCTTCCCTCCCTCCCTCTCCTCCCTGCACCGCCCTCACCGTCTCTCCCTCTCTCCCTCCACTGCCCTCACCCTCTCCCCAACATTCACCCCTCCATGCCTCCCCACCCTTCACTTCCCTCCCCTCCTCCCTCCCACTGCCCTCACCCTCCACCCTCCATTCCTCCCCCACCCCTCCCTCCCTCCCTCCAACCCCTCTCCTCCCTCCCTCCCATCCCTCCCCCCTCCCTCCCTCCCTCTCTCCTCCCTCTCCCACCCCTCTCCTCCCTCCTTCCCACCCTCCTCTCCTCCCACCCCTCTCCCCAACATCCACCCACTCCTCCCTCCTTCCCACCCCTCTCCTCCCTGCACCGCCCTCACCCTCCCACCCTCTCCTCCCTCCCTCCCACCCCTCTCCTCCCTCCCTTCCCACCCCTCTCTCCCTCTCCTCCCACCTCTTTCCCACCCCTCTCCTCCCCAACATCCACCCCTCCATTCCTCCCCCACCTCTTTCTTCCCTCCCTCCCACCCCTCTCCTCCCTGCACCGCCCTCACCTCTCCCCTCTCTCCCCCCGCAGAACATGGGCCTCAAGGGGCAGATGGTGGTGTGCCCCGAGAGCGACTCCCTCCTCTTCGTGGGCTCGCCCTTGCTCGACGGCCTCCGCGCCCTCACCTCCCACGGCCTCTACCTCTCCGACATCCCCATCCACGACGCCACCAGGGACGTCATCCTCGTCGGGGAGCAGTCCAGGGCTCAGGTAAGGGGTGCCGAGTGGGGAGGTTTTGCTGGCAAGGGATGGGGCTCGGGATTGATTATTTTTTCTTGTTTGTTTGTTTGTTTGGGAATGATTTTTTCTTGTTTGTTTGTTTGGGATTGATTTTTTGTTGTTTGTTTGTTTGGGATTTATTTTTTCTTGTTTGTTTGTTTGGGATCTATTTTTTCTTGTTTGTTTGTTTGTTTTTATTTGTTTGATTAGTTTGTGATTATCTTTACTCTTTTTTTTTCTTTTGCGTTAAGGGATGAGGTTTGTGATTGATTTTTTCTTGTTTGTTTGTTTGTTTTTTATTTGTTTGATTAGTTTGTGATTATCTTTACTGTTTTTTTTTTTACGTTGAGTTATTTGATCTTTATTTCGTCATCTATCTATTGCTTGTTTCTTCGGTGATTCCTTAATAAAAACAATATTTGAGAAATTATATATAAGTCCCAAATAGTGAAATGTTTTCTCGGCGTCGTTTATATCTTCAATTTAATCTCCAGGGCCAATAAACGTCAATAAGCTTAAGGCACAGAAGTAAACATTAATCAATTGGATATCAAGCGTCAGGCGGAAATAACTCTACGGGATTGAGACGCCGCATTTCACTATGTGCGCGGCCTTTTCCGTGTACAGAAATGTTGACATAGCTATTCAGATTGCATATGAAATCAGTTAAAAGCGACGCGTTAGATTCAGTGCCCAAAAGCTCTCATGACGTTTGTTAATTAATGATGACCGTCGTGTTAATATAGTTTTGGTGTCATTGTCTCACTAATCATCGACGTTCTCATTAATATTGTTGCTTCATTCTCTCTACCTTGGATGATGTGAAATAGATATATGAACACCATCATTTTCACATTCTGTTTGTGGTGTCATTAATATTTTGATGATTTTAGATTGATAAATGAGGATAGATATTTTTCATGTCGAATTTTGATGTCGATTTTCTGTAAATCTTTCTGTCACCGAATTACTTACCGCCTTCGTTCTCAAATTTGACGCTTCTTTTTCTTTTCCTTGTCCCTTCTCTTTTACTCCCCCCCTCTCTCTTTCTTCCTATTTCTCCTTCCCAATGTTTCTTCTCTGCCTCTTATTCTTCCTTTATTCTACTCCCTATCCTCCTTTCTTCCTGTCCTCCTTCTCCCCTCATCCTTTCCCACCTCCAGCTTCCTCCTCCACGCTCCCTCTTCGTTTCCTGTCATCCGCCTTCTTTTACCTCCTCCCTTTCCTCCCCCCCCCCTTCATCCTCTTACCTTGCCCCCCCCCCCCCTCTTTTCCTCTTCCTTCACCTTCCCCTTAAACTTTTCCTTTAATTAACGCTCGCCTTTTCTCTCTAACTTTCGTCTTTCCAGATGATTCCAGTTTCCTTCCTTATTTATGTTTTCTTTTGATTTAAACTTCCTACGGGATATGGGGTATTTTTTTTCCTTTCTTTCTTTTTTCTTTTTTTTTTCCTACCATGTCATTTCCTGGTTTGAATTCCCACGACGGTGATCAATGAAGGAAGTTATTTGATCGAAGTGAACGAACCATTTCGAATTTGAATACGAGCATCTTTTCCGATAGGGAGCTGTATTTTTTGTTCTCGATGTAGTCTCTAATAGTTACGCTAATGAACATTATTGATACAAGGATCACTCCCTTGTCTACTTATATTTTTGTGTGTTAATGTATGTATGTAGGTGTATAGATGTATGAATAAATGTATAGTTAAATAGGTTGTCGGACTGATAGATTCGTAAATTGACGCATTAATAGATATATGAGAAAATATAGTCACGCAGACCTTTATATATATATATATATATATATATATATATTATATAATATATATATATATATATATATATATATATATATATATATTATATATATATATATACACATATATATGTGTGTGTATGTGTGTGTGTTTGTGTGCCTATATATCTATATGCATCTGTAAGTAAGCATATCCATAAGCATTTCACATTTATTTACCCATTTTTATTTTCCCCGATCACCCTCCGCCACCTGAAGGACGGCCTCAAGCGAAGGATGGTTCAGCTGAAGGACTCTATCGAGGAAACCAATAACCAAGTGGACAAGGAGCGGGAGAAGAACGTGTCGCTTCTCCATCTTATCTTCCCTCCTGACATTGCGAAGAGACTGTGGATCGGTGA